AACTACGTTTACTTTAAGGTTTGCATCATGGTTGGGAACACATTCAAATCGTGCTTCTCATGAGTCTTTTCAGACTTAAATGTTACTGTGTTTCAACTTCATTTTAAAGAGTAATAGGACATCAAGTTATAGAAAATGCTATGGAAAATTGAATTATGTCTTGCTATATAAAATATAGTAGAACAATATCTCTCCCTAGCTTTTCTCAACTATTTTTATTGATGCTAGCATTACTCTTGTAACTAACATGGATGTAACAGGGAATGCAGTAAGTTCAACATTGTTATCTATGTAATATTTTTGTATTTTGGTGTGCTTTTTTTAGAATGAAGTGATTTTTCAGAGCCTATACATTATGTATTGAAAGGTGAAATACATCAGACTAAAGAGAGAAGAACTTCTTCCTGGAAAACTTGTAGGGACCAAGTTCAATAGCAGAACTGAGATTTGAACCCTAAGTACCATGAGCAAATTTACTATATTAAAAACCCCATCTGTTCAAGTTTAGAAAATACTAGAGAAGATTAAAACTAACATCCTGTTATGAACCAAGACAAATATACTAAAAGCAAGAAACCAAAAACCGTGACATACACAGGCTTCATCTTGACTATGGGTTGAGGATATTGGAAGAAAAAATGAAACCCTGAAGGAAAGTTGAAAGCAGTCTTGGAAGAAAAATCAGAAACAAAGTTCAAAACTGAGACTAGTCAAGAACATTTCTTCTTTTCTTTTTCTGTTAACCTAGAAAATAGAGATGAATCAACTGGTATAGAATGGAAAACAAATCTTAAAAGGAACTATTATTTTACCAAAGAATCTTAGCAACCCTTACAAAAACTCCTGTCTGTCCTTGTCAAACCAACAATTCCAGAATTTTTTACTATACCTGGTTTTAATGCCTTGGATAAAGACATTAAATAAGCATATAAACAGTCAGATCAAAGTTTTGGATGATCATCTCAAAGACAGTATTATGTAATCAGATGCATGAAATGAGATGGAAAATTAAGTTGTTTATGTATCTGAAATGCTACCTTCTTAAACTCAGGCTTGCTTTACAGATTACCAAATTACTTTAAAAAATATTAAGAAAGGCTACTGACATCCTTATTATCAAACTTCCATACCTTAAGATCTCTTAAGTAGCTTGCTTTCTTCATCTAACAGGCAGATTAGCCATGAACCTTGTTTTTACTGTTTACAATCTGGGCTCTTTGGGTTTTCATTATCTCAGCAGATTTGCCTCTTACTATGAACTTCTTCATGGGAACAGATTTTCTGCTAGTCACATTAGCTGTGACACTGCCATTACTTTCCTGCCATCTTGTGCATTGTTTATACATAATGATAAAACAAAAATTATAAACTGTATTTTCTTTTTCACCTAAGGAGCTTGTAATATGTATGTAAAAAGCATGGACATTTCATGAAACAGGAGATTTTACTGGTTCTAATAAGTCATATGTATATTATATTCTACATATGCTGCTTTTGTTGTGTGTTCACACTTTACAGTAACATATAAATTTTTATTAGCTGGCCTACTTACTGAAAATTTGGAGGCTGGATTCTCACAACATACAAACCATTAGTACAGAAGTACAGAATAATGATCATTGTGAGATTTCTTCTTAAAATCCGTAGCTGAAATGTTATTGTCAGATGTGGACAAGTTTTGCCAAGAATTTGAGCTTTAATCAGCATTTTTTGTGGGTGGATGTGAAAAATGTGGGCGTAAACAGAAAAATCACATTTTTCTCTGAACAGCTGTATAATAGCTACTTTTAAAAGCTAAGTAGTAAACACAGAAGGAAAGGGTTTCACACTGTAGAATGTAGGGCAAAATATTTCTGGCTTCCATATTGTGGGAGTTATTATAGAGCACAAAATGCTAAGTAAGAGTTGACTGTATGTTTGGACAGCTGGCAGTTCAAGAAATGAGACAGAAATCAGAGTCCTTTCCAGAATTGTATCACTTGCCAACCACTTATGACTTTGGAACTAATTGAGAAGTGAAGGGTGCACACAACTACTTTATGATCTACAGCTTGTCATACTTAGATATTTGTATATTCTTTTCATGATAAACCTTTAATGTCATGTCTAAAAATCAGATTTTTTTTTTTTTAAACACAAATCATATTCACCTTAAAGTTAATATGTTATTCCCATGTATATGCAATGCATAACTGTAAGAGAGTTGGTAGATAAAGGTAATATCTTTTATTGACCAGTTATTACCATTTAAGAACATTTACAAACTTTTGAACACATAAGCTTTCTTCATATCCGAAACAGAAAAGGCATATTTGAAGGGCAAAGAATAGTTGAGGAAAAATACTCAAAGTATCAGAAATATCACATCTTTGAGAAGAAAGCTAACTGGAAGGTAGAGTTAGAAGGCGATACTAGTGAAGAGAGAAAAATGAGAGATTCTGCTTTGAGCAAAATAGTTGCAAATCCCAATACAGTAATCTATCATGAATATGAATCCATTAAGGGCGTTTGAAATTTTGAAAGAGTTGTCAAAAACCCAGGGAAAGAATGGATTCTAAACAAAACAAACGTAATCTGCTAAAACTGCTTTTCCTTGTGAAACACCCTGCCCCATTTAAAAAAGCCCACCCGTTACTAATTGTATGTCTTTTGCACATATAAAGCTTTCCTCACAAACAGGTAGCTGTTATAGGTTTTGTTTTTAATTTCCAAAAATGAGAACATTCACTCACAAAAAAAATATAATTAATAATCTTATGAGCTACAAACTAAAAGTTAAATAAAAATTTGTAGTTGCTACTGTCTTCTCTTCTCAGTGATTTGGGGGGGCAGATTTCTTTTACATTCTCAGAAGTGTTTTCCATAGCAAGCTGAATCATAAAATCATACAATGTTTTGAGTTAGAAGGGACCTTTTAGATCATCTAGTTCTAACCCCCCTGCCATGGACAGGGATACCTCTCACTGGATCGGGTTGTGCAAGGCCCTATCCAATCTCGTGTTGAACACAATCAGTGATGGAGCATCCACAACTTCCCTGGGCAACATGTTCCACTGTCTCACCACTCTCGTAGTGAAGAATTTCTTCCTTATATCTCATCTAAATCTACCTTCTTCATTTGAAGCCGTTACCCCTCATCCCATCCCTGCAAGCCCTCGTAAAATGTCCCTCCTCAGCTTTCTTGTAGGCCCCCTTCAGACACCGCAATAAGGTGTCCCCACAGCCTTCTTTTCTTCAGGCTGAACAACCCCAATTCTCTCAATCTGTCCTCATAGGAGAGGTGTTCCAACCCTCTGCCGTCTTCAGCAAATACAAAAGCTGTCAATTTAGGAATTTAAATGTTTTCTGATTGTTGCTTGGTGTATTTTTGAACTTCCTCACAAACTGACCTTGGGATGTTGACCCTGAAGGCATTTTTCCTTGTGATGCAAAAAGCCAATGAGCAAAAATTACAGAGAAGCCACCATGTATGGTGGTGGGAAAACAGGGAACGTGGGTTTCATTATTTCTTCTGTGTGGTTCATTATAGGGACTTGGATTTCATTCACACAGGTGAATAAGCATTACACAGTTGTTCTTTTTAGTCTCCTGTAAGAGATTAGCAATCAGAGCATGTGAGACTCTGTAAGTCTGTAATTGTCACTATGTTTGCCAATAGCGAGATGCTCACAGCAAATGTGAAGGACTTACTTTCAAGTATCTGTTCCAGTTAATTTTCATTTATTGTGCATGGATCAGTTTCAACATGAAAGATTGAAGCAGTCAAGTCAGTAGCTAAGATGTGCAAGACCGGGATTCAAATCTGCTCAGTCAAGCAGGGAGAAAAATGAATCATATGTCTGCTGCTTGCTGTCTGTGGGATTTACCCAAGAAGTGTAAAGCCCAAGTTCAATTCGTGGCTGCTTTATTTCGGACTTTTCTTCTGCAGCTGAAGTGAGAATGTGATTACTGGCCCCAAATCAAGGGCTGAATATTTGTTTGCCTAACCTGACAAATTTTTTCTAAAAAACATTTGGAGCTTCAGCATGGTCTCTATGACAAAGCTTGTTAGGTGTGAAGTAGGAAGCATCTACGCAATTCCAAAGTATAATGTCCCTCGAAAAAAGGTAGCAGCTAAGAAGTGTTTTAAAGATGGAAGTAGATGCCTAAAGACATGAATTGATCTCCATGTCATTTTGAGGATTATATTCTACTCAAGTGAAAGTGCTTTGCCTGTTGAATCACTTTACCATATTCAAAGCTTTGACAGGCTGAAAGCAAAGAGCTTCTGGTTCTCTCTGGCTACCCTGAGTGTGTGTAGCATCAGAGTGCTGATGGGTAGAAAGAAAAGGGAGCAAAACTGGGGTAGAGTGCAAAATCCCTCACTAAGTCTAGAACTTGGGACAGTTAGCACACTTTCTATATTATGATTGCAGGGAGATTCCTATTAGAAATAGGCACCTAATTTCGCTCCTTTTTTTTTTTCCCCTACATTAGAGACCCATAGAATTTCTTTAGAATTCTGCTCCTGAAATTAATAGGAAAAATAATTAGGACAATATTCTAGAAAGTTTGTAATTCTGTAAAAATACTGATATTTGTACCATTATGGATATTTGTTAGTTACAGGATTCTTTCTCTTATTTGTTCTTTTGAGTGTCCAAGTAAGGATGCAAAGATCAGATTTTTCTGAAATATTATTCTTAAAATGGTTGGTTTAATTCCTATGGGTAACTTCCAGACTAAGGTGTATAAGCAGGAATATCAGAATCTGGTACTTATCAAAAAGTAAACATATATGGCAGCATATTAATTTTTCTTCTTTTCTTTAGGTCTAATATTTCTGGATTTCAGTATCTGGCCGTAAATAATATTTGAGAATTAATGTTATTCTGCAGTGATACTGAATGAACTATTATTTACTAAACATACCTGTGTAGATGGCATAAATTATCTGTTGGCCTAATCACATTGCATTAGTACTGAAAAATTACATTTATTTGTTTATTTTGTATTTTCAGGTAGAGATTGAAAAGCTGGACTATCAATACTATCTGCCTTTGTTTTTTGATGGGCTTTGTGAAATGACATTTCCATATGAGTTTTTCGCTCGTCAAGGAATCCATGACATGCTGGAACATGGTGGAAGCAAGATTCTTCCTGTGATTCCTCAGCTCATTATCCCAATAAAAAGTAGGTGAAAAAGTAGAAAAAAAAATCCTAAAATTGTGTTTATATAGTGAAGATTTTTGAGAAGTTGATAATTAAGCAGTAAAACATGACAGGATAAACGTGACAGGCTGCGCATTTCATGGAGATTATTGCAAACATAATTAAATTGTAAGGTGTAAGACCAGAAGGCTTATGCCTTCAATCACTTGGTACCTGCAGTCATCCAGAAAAAGAGACTATCTGGTTAGTGGTTTTCTTATTACAGTGTGACTCTTTGTCTTTTAAAATGTGAACCAATGTTTTCTTACCTGATTTGGTGTATTTATTATCTAAATCCATTACTGTATAAACCAGTTCATCTGAAATGACAAGAGAAATCAACAGACGAAACTTAAGGAAATGCATATCTTTTTGTCCTTTTGTTTATTCATTAGATATCTTTTCTATCATCATTCTTATCTCTCTGCACATATATGTATCTGTGTAAATTAGTAGTTCTGCCTAATTATTTTATATGTAAAATTTTGGCATTTAAAAAATATTAATTTTAAAGAGTTTTGATATTCAAATACAGTTTTTGATAAAAAAATTATATGAAAGGTAATAAATTATTTTAATACCAGAGTAATACCACTAAAACTAAAACTTATTTTCTTGAAACTCCTAGTCTTTCAAAGGTACTGTTTAGTCATTTCCTGTTTCTTTAGATCTGTACTGTGAGGAGATGTTATTCTGAACCTTCATCCTTCTTTAGTTAGGTATTATGCTTCTTAAGTCTGGACGTTACACCTATACTAATAGATGCTTATATCTGTTGAACTTGGTGCCTGTTCTACCCTTGATCAGTAAAGATATCAACACAACTCCTTTGTCCTGTTTTCCTGAGATGATTCAGAATCCATGCTAAACCAGAACAAAACAGAGTCATTATATTTGTGATACAGAACGAAGAGTCAAACACAGTTTTGGGAGGGAGGAAAGGGAGTGTAGTTTTGAGCCTGACAATACGGAAGTAGTGTTGAAAGGATCAGAATTGTGGGGGGTTTCATTCAGTTTATTCACTGTTTTAAGAGTAATTATAGATGTCATTATCTCTACCTTACTGTAGATTTTGAAAATGTGAGAAGGAATATATAATACTCAGAATGATTACTTTGTGACACTTGTGAGAAGTTATGAAAACGTTACATTTTTTTTCTCTCTAAAAGGGAAACACACAGATCAATCATAACTTCTTTAAATCACTATTTCCAACACCATCCAAATAGAGTAGTATCTTTCTTTTTTTATGACAGCAGCTATTCAGTTAAGATTTAAAAGTCTTTCTAAGACCAAAATCCAGCACAGAAATAATTACCTGGAAGCTTTAGATGTTACACAGCTTTTAGCATGAGAAAGAGACTGCTTGGTAAGGATATTGTTATGGGTTTGATATATAGTCTTTTAAATTAAGTTATAATTTATGATGCTGGAACACATTCAAGAATCTGCTAGCTAAATTTAGTTATTGGTTCTGCTTTATTTTATTGTAAAGTACTTAATTTTTTTTGTTTAAAAAAAGCTTCTGTATCAGCTCTAGTGCGTGAGGAGTCTAAGTATTATCAATTGTAAAGGTTTCTTCCTAACTGAAGCCATATTAATTAAAAAAAAAGGCACCAGCACCTCAAGGAATCTGAGAGTGTGGACTTCTAAGCATTTTAAAATTTGCTGTGACTGTGTAATATAGCAGTGTAGTCATAGCTATACATTTCTGTGACTCAGCTGCATCCACAATAAACTCAGCTATGTTTTACACATGTTACTGTCTCCAAAATGTCCCACTGGCTGAGTGATATCTGATTAGCCAGTCTTCTTCTAGACCACTACCATATTTCTATTGTGAAAGAGTGAATCCATTGATTGTTAGACAAAGTAATATACATGATGGAGGTGAAATATATAAAAGAAATACAGAAAATAATTCTCTGGATAGGATGCTTTTAAAAGTTATTTTCTCTCCTGCATGTTCACGAAAGCAAAATATTAGTAAAGAGCCGCTCTCTAAAAACATTTTAAATTAAATATTAGAATTCTGTATTATTTTTCAATGATCTAAGGAGAAATCCATCCTTCACCTATCCTTGCTTAAAGTTCATACTTTTTGGAAGCTATGTCATTAAAGATGAAAAATAATATTTAATGAATCTGTGAATTACTGAAAGCTGAAATCCTTTCAACAAATTTTCACTTGGTTATCCAAACAGGCAATGACTAACAAAATGCAAACAATTGAAATTAATGGGTCTAGTTTCTTTCCTAAAATACCTGAAATATTATTAAAATAATATGGAAGAATGTTATTTAGTTGAAAAGTAATTGCTCATTTTTGTTTGTCACATTGAAAGGCACTTAATTTTTTTTAAATAGAGGGGAAGGAAAAAAGTCTCAGGTAGGAGGCATTGATATTTTAAAGGGGAAAATTTTAAAAATATATTTTGATTTCTCAAAATAAAAATTCAAGATATATTGTGCCTTGCAGTTGCAAAAATGAAAGTTTACAAATATAGTCATTGCATGGCATAAAAACTAGGAAAAACAAATGACCTGTTTGATTATTTCCTACAAAGAATCCTTTGGGTTTTTTAATGCAAAATCAGAAAATATGAATCATTAAAATAAAACCAAAATATTTTCAGAATGGTGTTACTTTTAAATTCAGGTCATTTAAATGGTCTAGCTGTAGTGTCAAAAATGAAGGAATAGTACACAACAGAAGTTGGAATAAGTGAGTAGAGATGATTGTTAGAAACATCTTGATATGGCTTTGCTAATGAAGAAAATAATGTGATATTAAACACTTGAGCATTTTGGATCGACCACTTGCCAGGATCTTCTGTGCCATGAATCCTAAAACGAACATGTAGGCAATCTGAACATAGACCTAGAAGCCAATAACTTTCATGTCTTTGAATTAAATTGTAACTTAGATGGAAGTATTGTTTCCTCATGGTTGCAATCAGCAGACCAGCACTTCTCAGTCCAAAAAGAATAATCTCTACCCTAAGCAACATTGAAGTTTTCCTCTTTCAGACTTTTTACATGCTTTTAAAAATCCCTTCTGTGCCACAATAGATCAAAGATACCTTAAACTTGTTTGAAAATGTTTCAGTAAGAGAAATACTCTTATTTTTTTTTGAGTCAGATATAGAGAAATGCACAGAGTAGTCCTCTCTCGGTGTCACTTACAGAGTTTAAAAAATTTCTAAATTAAACTGAGTTGTTTTCTTATTCTCCACATTCTATTTGCATGTAAAATGTGGACTATTGTCTTGGACAACAGTGTAGTTAATTGCCATTTAATGTCAAATCAGTGTTACTATTGCATTTAGATAAAGTTGAAACTAAGGCTGAACCTGTTGCTAGTTATTCTAAGCATATTTATATATCTCTTCATATATCTTCACTGTATTTAAGATTATTTAATACTTGTTAAATATGTCCTTATTTCACAGAATAGTGAAATATTTTTACGGAATAAATATTTTCTGGGCTCTAGGGTTTTTTTATGTAAATCATATAAGTTGATTTCTGTAATCTACAGAAAGTAAATTAAACCTTTAATGGAATCGTTATCTTCCAACTGCTTGTTGCTCTTGAGAACCAGTTCTGGTAGTTGAGATCACAAACTGAAAACTAACTCTAAACAAACTTGTTTTTATGAACTTAAAAGGCTTTTAAAGAAACCAGATTCCTCCTTTTTACTCCTGTCTGTGAGGAGAAATTGTGTTTCTCATTCACAAAAGATAAATCTTATCCATGTTTGGAAAGTGAAACCTGCAATTTACGTCTCTCACTTTTGAAGTTGGAGTTAGAGCTATTCTCTCTTTAATTTACTAATTTATTAATATTTCACCTTTATTAGTACTAAATTTTATCTGCCATTTTATCACCCAGTCATTCTGTAATGTAAAGTCCTGAAGCTCTTCAGAGTCAACCCTGATCTTTGGCACCTGGAATAAGTTTTGAGGTGAAAAATTGTAACCAGTTTAATCAGAAAACTTTGTTTACTCATTACTTCTCTTCCAAATCACCTGTGAGTCTATTGAGAAACATGAACTTCAGCACAGATTCCTGCAAGGCTCTGCTAATGATACTACTCTTCTGTGTCCATTTATTGTTGCCCTCATTTCCTACTTTGAAATGATTATTTATTTATATAGAAACCACGGCAGATAAATGTTTCAAAAGCCTTCGGTGAGTGACCTTATCAAATACCTTTCAGAAGTCTAAGAAAACCATACTATCAGGCTTTTCTTGTCTACATTCTTCTTCAAGGACCTACAATACATTTAGAACACTCTATTGCAGTACAGATGCAAATATTACGGGTCTTTGGTTCCGTAGATCTTTCCTGAATTTTTTTCTTTAATGGTATCACGTTTCATTGATAACAAAGATGTTTTCATTGGGAGGGTGGTTACTCCCAGGGGAAGGAACGTGCATCTAGGAATGAATGGAAACTGGCATAGTTGCTGAGAAGATTTCTGGGCCTCTATTCTCAGTGTATTCTTTGTACTACATAATGAAGCAGGGCCTTCAAATGTTAATAGAATTCAAGTTTTATAGGTGCTGATCTAGTGAAACACTGCAATTGCAAGCACAACTAATGCAGGAAAAAAAAAAGCCATTGACTCTCTTCTGTATTCTGCTAGATCATTTTTCTTGTAGGTATCAATGATTCAGTTATGTCTCTTAGCCTTTTCTGCACCTTAGGCTTTGGGTTTACAGGACCAAGTCTTTGATGACAAAAGTGGCCCAAGGCTTTCATGCCTTGCTCCCTATTTCTCATCCTCACCACCTGTAAAGTTCACTGTAACACGTCACTCCTTCAGTTGTATGGGAAGAAATATCTGTACATCTATATTGTAAATTTTGATCAGGATTTTACCCGACTTTAAAGAAGTACAGAACACAAGGTTTATATTCTGTTTTTCATTCACTCTTGATTGAAACACTGTGGTTTGTTACAGCCTTCATTGCTGTTCTGTAAAGTTAGCATAGTACTTCTATTATATCAGTTCAGGCAATTAAGTATTATGTATTTTGAAAGTTTTTGAAAAATTCTCTGTAAGAGAAGTATGGGTCACTTCAATCAATTGCATTTTGAGAACACTTCATGTTAGCAGTTCTTTAAACCTGACTCTGTGAATTTTAGAAAAGAAGGCCTTGATCAAAAAGAGTAAGTAAATCACAACAATCGAAGCATCATTATCCTGAGTGCTTTTTGTCCTGTAGGGGATCTTCTCTATGTACCTTGTTCTGCTTCAGGCAAAGAATTTTCTAAAACAGGTGCCTCATTTAACAGTTGGGGAGTAGATAAGAATGCAAACTAAATTGCTTTTAATCTTCGATTGTCAGATCTAAATAGAAAATGGAAACTGTCAGTCCATTTCTAAACAAGGATTCACATTTGAAAAAGGGATTGAACATACTTAAAGTCCAGGGCAAATTAAACAGAATTAAATGATAAACATAACTTTAAAAGTACCAAAATCTAATCTCTAATACTTAGAGAAGAGATGGTTGATTGGGGAATTTGATTTGATTCTGTAACGTTTAGGCTATCAGTCTACTATTCAATCTCTTTGGTGAAAACACATTGTGTCATGGAAAAAATCCACTGTATACTGGGAGAAATGCTGTCATGGTTTCTGGCTTATAAAATGTATCAGTCCCAAAGATAAGAACTCTGGCTTCTATTATATGCAACATATGAGACTGAAATAGGATTTTTCAAACTGCCACATAAAAATAAAATATAAAAACTTTTTAAAAATAAACTTACATAGCTTCTAGGTCTTTTTCTTTGAGAAGTTAGAATTGTTACTCAAGGAAAAGACTTGAATGTTTTAGAGTAATGATTTCTACTGTTTCATATATAAGCTGCTTCTGTCTAAATGGATAAGCAAACAAGTGGCATATACCTTAAGAAGAGTCTCTGCTTTTAAAGGAAATTAGCAAATGAAAATTCTAAATTTATGTTAATTACAAACAAAATTTAATAAAAATAAATTAACTGAAGCTATCAATGAATTTGATATTGTATATAAGCTCATTGCCAACAAGCTTTAGTAAACAGTGCTATGAAAATCCTCCATCCCAAAGATGTTCAGTATTTCAAATATGCTTTCAAATTTCATAATTATCTACTACTGTGGCTTTGAATGGTAGAAAAACAGAGCTGACTCAGATACTGAGCTTTTACACCAGATATTTAGCCTACAAACAGTTTAAAATTCTCTAAAGAAAGTTATGATGAATTTCAGAAAGTAGTTGCTTGCAAAACCTGCAGCAGTACACAATAAAATGAGTTTGAAGGAATTACCTCATTATATACTTATATTGAACAATTAATTACTTAAGCTGGAGCTTCTCTTAGAAAAGTGATTGTCCTAATGAAAAGTAAAATTGTCAACTTTATGTTCCATTAAAGTAGAAAAGTTTGGAACTACCAGAAGGAAACGACAGAGTCAGTTTATTGGGTATTTGGTTTTTTTTCCAAGTTGCTGCTTAAGAGAACTGTACAATGCGTAGTATGTAGACTGTGACGAAACAGATACCATTGAGGGAGGAAAGTCCTCTAAAAAACCTTTAGGGATTGGAAAGGTACCCTTTACTGAGAATCAAATCAGTCATTCACTTTATTGTGAAGATCCATGTCTTACAGTGAACTTCTAGGTCAAGAGACAACAGGCTAGCATGTTTTCGAATGGGAATCCTTTAGATATTATGCATGCTTCCTTCATTAGGGCTATGTAGCTGTACTGCTTTATTCCTGTGTAAGAACACTAACTAGTACTTTCTTCCATTTCTGTTGACGTCTGGGTATCACTGACATTTATCAAAATGTTGAAATGTCCTTATTTCCTATATACTGCATTAAAATTTTCTTCCTCTGATTCATGTGGGAGAATGGTCTGCAGTGATGATAGTACACAGAAAATAATTATCAGATTTTTAAAAGATAAACATATGTTTGAAATTGATGTATCCTTGGGGCAGGGACTGTCTAATTAAATGTTTATACAGTGCCTAATATAACCAAGCCAGGAGCTGGTTGACTGCTATGCATACCACAGTCCAAATATTTAAAAATAATAACAACAGCAGTTCTGCACTCAATTTGATCTTACTTTTTATATTTACAAGTGTTTTCCTAACACACACTGCATATTTCTGCACTTTGAAGGGTTCCAGGCCCAAATTCTGCTGTTTGATTCTACTATATTCTTCACTTCAGCACTCAAACTTGATCCAAATTCTGTCTTTTGCTTTGTGTGTCAAACGGAGGATAGGATGCCCCTGTTTTGAGGGAGCTGGGACAAGTATCTCTCTGATTTTCTAGCATGCAGATGAAACAAGTGCCAGTATTACTGTTTAAAGTTCCAGCAAGCATCCCTACAGAACAACACAGATGTAAGGAAACTTGCATGACAGGTTCTGTGATGAGCTGTTCTTTGGAAACATTCATCTAGATTCAGTCTGTGTTCAGTTTACTCCACTCATTGGAATGCCTTCTCAACCATGAGGTATAATTCACACTCTTGACTTTATTAAGGAATTAATCTCTACCAGATCAGTTTTGGCTTCCACTCAAACCAGGGCTGTCTTTGCACAAGCCAGAACTCTGAAAACAGAAAACAGTGAGGACCTTTGGGAGCCACCATCTACAGAAAAACGTTCTTCCTAGGGGTTGTTGAACAGCCCTTTCCACTTACATGACACCCTTTACATGCCTTAAAAATAAGGCTTCTCATCTTCTACACCAGCTTCTGCAGCCAGGAAGAACTATTCCTGGAAGCAGGTCAAATTTGTTGGTTAAGGATTAAGATGATGTGATTTCTGTCATTGATGCATTTTTATGTTCCTTAAGTGAATTGTTAGTGTTTGAATGAATGAATATTTGCATTCATTTATGTTTGTATGAATAACTAATAATCATTGTACTGAAAATGACAAGGAAATTAATTATAATTTCCTTATTAGTTCAGTTAGCTACTATTTATGTGTATGACAATTTAGTCATGAATAAACCTAGATTTTGGAACCCCAGAGATTCCTCTTCCAGTCTCTCCTTTAAGAAAATGGATAATGACTATTCCTCTGTAAAATAATATTTTTCTGCCTGGGCTTTGTACCTAATCTTAAAAATTGTATCTGGGGGTCTCTCTTTGCTAAAGCAGCCTTAGAATATCTACCAGTGAAAGCATAATTTGGAATAGCCAGCATCTTTGCTGGCACTTACTGTGAGCATGCTGCAGGGATGGACTCCCTGTCCACATGTTACTATGTTCACAGGCAATATGAAATTAGGTGTAGCATGATGACTACAAGAGGGACAGGCAAATATGAAGTATGGAATTCAGTCTGTATTTTCATTTAACAATACTTTATTAACTTGGAATCACCCTGTGATGCACCACTGTACCTTTATACTGTGGGCTCTCTAACTTGTTTAGTAGTAGCTTAGATGTGCTGTTGATGAGCACGCAGAGGTGTGCGGGGTGGTTACTTACTAGCTGATTTTCAAGAGTTCCCTCTACAAATTGATGCAACCAGTCTGCCTTGTCCTTGCTTTGGAGCTCTAGCTCTGACTTTTAGGAGTCAGCAGGCATGCGATAAGAGGCAGAAGTGGGTGGGGCACAATGCATTTGCTCTAAGAGATGGAAAAACTGACATTGCTCCTGTGTGAGAATCCTGCTTCATTCCCTATGAAACACTCTTCCTGTGCACTGACAAAGCATAGTGCCAGAAATACTGAATCCTATTATTTCAGTGTGGAGAGGCAGTTCTTGGAGTTGTTAGTAACTGCTCTTCAAATTTCAGTGTGTTCTTTGCTATAGTTTTTTTTTCCAAGTGCTTATACTTATATTGTTATGTTGAATCATGTATTTATATACTTCTATGGTTATAAAACATATAGCATTGAACATGAGCTTATCTTTTAGAGATTTTGCTTTCTCACTGCAATGATGTAAACATCTGTGTAAGCAGACAGAACATTGGAGAATTAGACCAATGTATAATAGCATACCAAATTTGACAACTGCTTCCAGTGGCATAATTTCAGAGGAGGTTTTATAACTAGAAGGATTTTGCAAGAGAAAAAAAAAATCTGTATTTCAAGCATGACTCATTTTTAATTACAAAAGAGAATGAAAAGTACTTGCTTTTAGTAAAATCAGAAGAGAAACAAAAGGTATTTATAAAATGTCTTAGTGTCATAAGATTAGAAGCATGACATTGAAAGCTGAGAGAAAAATGTAAGTAGGCAAGACAAAATCTATTTATTTTAGTTTGTCTTTTAAAAAAAGCCTACAAGGTTTTTTCTGTGGTTTTGGTCTTTTTTTTTTTTTCCTATAAACATTTGCTTCATTGTACTGATTCTCAGAATAGTAGGAATTGTTAGTTGAATGAATAAAATAATGAAATAAATGAGTACAAATATACAAACACTAATTGTTGCACTAGAATGACTCTGTTGTCAACCTTTGCAGGTTGTCTTGCAGTTGTATAGTTCTATTGGCCCCAAATGGTACTTACTGAACATTTATTTTTTATTTGTTTGGACCATGCCAGTATTACACAGGCAGCATGAGGGAATAATGAGCTGCATTCTTTGGGTTACTGAAGAGTCAGCACAAATTGTGGGAACAAATAACAATCAGACAAGGCAGTGTTTTATAACATCAGGACTGCAATCCATCTTTGGGATCTTTCAAAGCTGGGCCAATAAAGGCCCACTTACAATCCCCAGCAGAGTACAGTTTAATTAAATTTGTCCATTAGAGGTCTCCTCCCCCTCCCTCTACATTCTAGAAATTAATTCTGCTTTATGCTTGTTGTTCTTTCTACATCACAGATGCCCTGAGCCTTCGTAACCGACAAGTCATCTGCATCACGCTGAAAGTCCTCCAGCACCTTTTGGTGTCTGATGACAGGGTGGGGAGGGCCTTGGTGCCCTATTATCGGCAAATCCTCCCAGTCCTAAACATCTTTAAGAATATGAATGGTGAGTTATCCTAACAGTCACCGTGTCTTTCAACTCCAAAGGTAAAAAGGGGCTTGAGGCAGGGTTAATTAATGATGTAGTTAAGATTTATTACTGTATATAAACTCAAACCCATTTGGAGCTCTGAATAATGTAAACACCCCCCTCCCTTACTGTTCCCTAAGGATGCACTGAAATTAGCAATTTCATTTATTACTCCTTGCACGTACAGTTTATTTAATGCAGTGCAGAACTACTGAAGCAGTTCTGTAATCTTCCAATAATTAAATTGTAAAGTTTTGTAACAGTCTCTTGAATCCATTAATAAACGGCAAAGGTTTTTTTCCTCCCTCCAACACATTAGTTCAGTCCAACCTTTTTATTCCATTCTGTGCTCTTCACAAGTAATTCACTGCTACCAGCAGGCTTAGGAGACAATAAAAATAAAAGTAGCAATCAAATTAATTAAACTGAGGGTCAAGATAACTCCTTGTCGTAGAAAAAAATTCAAGTTACATAATATCTAGCAAAACAGTAAAGTTTGAATTTTTTGCTGCTCACTTACCATGTTATATTTTAGAGAAATTTAGAACTACTAATGCCTACAGTTAAGTATATTTTCTTTGTGGCAAACCTCTGTTGCTAGTTTCAGTCTTTAATAACTGGTACTGTGATTACTGTGAGTACTGTGTAATGTGAATGCATTTACGCCACAGTCATCAGCTGAAATCAACATGATATATCTTGCTTTTGCCAAACTAATCTTTAAAATATTTTTCTGTAGTAAATCTATACTGAGTTGAAAATTTGTTATTCCCATGAATCATATAGATCAAAACAATTTAATTCCTCACAAACTTGTAAAAGAGGTTTTTCGTTAAATTTGTATCATTTTAATAGTAATCTACAGGGCTGCTTTCTGTTATACTTTGTGTTACTATAGAATGTATTATCTTGTACTCATTCTTTACTGAGTATAAGATTCACCTCAGACTGAAAAATGCCTGTCCAAAGACTTGACTTGGACACTCAAATGAGATTTAGATTTTAGATCCCTTTAAATACATGTTTGTATTTAAACAGAGTCTGTGACTCTCTTTTACTTAGAGGCTTGCAGTAACATGGAATTCCACCAATACAGCATGGCTCAGATGACAACTCTGGTTTTCTAGAAGTTGTGGGACGAAAGGTTATGAATAAAATCCCTAGGCTGAACTTAAGTAATTTCAGTAGGGCTCCTTATGAATTAGAATATTCCCCTTTAACAGATCCAATTTCAGTATCTGACACAAAACGAGACTGTAAAAAGAAGGATTCTCGTTGATTAATGAATATACATGGGGTTTTTTTCCAAATTCCAGCCTGAAGTAGCCCATAAGTGCTCTTGACTAGGCTTTTCTGCAGTGATTTCAAATGAGTAATAGAGAAAGCTCATGTGTAACTAGGTACATAGCTTAACAAGGCATTAAACACATGCTAAATATATCCTAAGTTTTGCTTGTATTGTGAGCAAAGTAAAACGTATTTTCAACATATTTGCATGGCATCTGTGCTATGTAAATTTGTGCCTATATCAAATTACACTAAATCTTGATATTTGGCATTTAAGAACTAAAACACAAAAAGAAATCAAATGTAGCAGTTCAAAATAAATATATTTTATTAAAGCACTATTTTTTTAGAAATAAAGGTTTTGAAAGCTCAGTATTACCAGCAATGAAGTGGATACTGTATGCAACGCCTGCCATATAAAACTGTGCAACTTATTCAGTACTTGCATGTGGGTTAGATTCTTCCTCTGTCTCTCTCTGCATCAAAAAGCTTGTATTTCTTTTCTCCTTCACTGGTGGTTGACAGAATTTGTAAGCTCCCTTCCTCCTCATTCTTACCTTCCATATGCTTGATAGGCAACTGAGGTGCAGGTGTTTGCTCCCAGTTTTAAGGAAGGTATAGAGACTAATCCAGGCTATTTTACCAAATGCATGTTTATATAGGTGAAAAGGTGTGAGTGGAGTGTACACTCTTCTTTTTTTATGTATAACTTGAGAAATGAGGAACTTTAGAAAGGAGAATCTTCCAGGAGTTCTGTGAATTGCTGTCTATTAATTCTGTCCAGAATTTGTCCGGAATTAAGGTAATTGGAAAGAGCCATGTTTTAGTCATTGCCACCTTGCTAGATCACTATCTGTCTGCTGAAAGGAAGATAGATAGTGTTTCTTTCCTAAATTCAGCATCTGTGAACAACACTCTCACACTGAACAAGCTTATATCCAAGATAACTTTTTTTAATATTAATAAGATATTGTGGTCACCTTACCTTAAGGTCAAGTTACGTGGTGACCAGTTCAGAACAAACCGAACAAAGCGATTCTTCATGCAGTGTGTGTGATGTTAAAGCTCTGGAACCAAAAGTATACATGGGCTCAGTGGAGGCTCAAAACCGTTGTAAAAAATAATCTGTTGCACACAGATCACCTCTGGCTCATGGCATTCCTAAACCACAACATGGTGGAAGCTGAGAAAGTCTTATGTGAAGTACCATAAATACTTCTCCTACATTCACATCTGCTTTTGAGAGACACATTTGTGGACTAGACAGGCACTTGCTGCTATCTAGGACATCCATCCTTAATATTCTTCCTACACTGGTCACTAGCAGACTTGCAGAAAATATTTAATTCCATTGAATTTAAAAATTATCTGGAATGCAGGTTCCTCAGAAATTTTATTCATACTACATACCTCTGATTTGTCTGAATCATGATTCACCTCAAAATATTAGACAGGCTTATAAATAGTAAAAAACTTGCATTGGTAAGATATTAAGGTTAGGGTATCAGAAAAAAAATATAGAATGAAACAAGTATAGAATGCAGTCTTAAGTTCACCTTGCCACATGCTTATCTCTTCAGCTAGCAAAATGGGTAAATCATTGTTCAGAGTTCCCCATGTTACCTGAGCTCAAAATTTAACATGGTTTGAGAAGCTTTCAGTTCTGTGCCACTTAAGTCTTAAGCAATTCTTTCCAAATTCCTGTCTGTTTCCCAGCACTGAGGCTACAGTTTCAGTCGGCAACAGTTTTGTTTAGTTGCCCTTGCCTTCAAGGGGCATTTTGTGACCAAAAAAAAAAGGAGATAGCCTTGATGACTCTCCCTGTAGGCAGCCATTTAATGCAGCTGACTGTGATTGCCACTGCAGATTTTTACGGGGTTAGGCTTTAAACTATGTAAATCTTTTTTTCCTGGCATCTGATGTCTTTGGTGCTGAGGAATGATGTCTCCTTCCTCCTATTCCACCTGCTGGCAAACTGCTTCTTAATCAGCCTCAAGTGTTCTTTTATCCAAAGTTATTAATGCACAATTAATTGTATACAGAATATTGACTATTCACATAAACAGTTTCTCATATGTTCCTTTGCTTTTCCATTGTACTTTTGACATTTCAACTCTTTTCTAATTCCATCTGCTACCTCCAAATCACCCATTGTACTTTTGACATTTCCACTTTTTTTCTAAATCCATCTGTTACCTCCAAATCACCCTGGCATTATTTTGTAAACATAGCCCTTTTTGTAAATTAGCAGGTTATGATACTGATGTCTTTTCCTATCTTATGATGTCTCCCAAATGTTCTTATCCCTAAAAATGACTGTCTTCATAATGCTTATGTTGTCTTGATAACTGTATAATACCAGCAAAAATGGTAAAGGACTACTAACCTTTTGGAACAAACAAATTAAGGTATGCTAAATATATTTTACCATTGAAGTTTGTGGGTCACAAAATAGACATAATTCAGGTAAGTGATTGTAGTCATATGCTCTGTGATTTGGATATCTTCAATTACAAAAATGGACAAGAAGGTCTATTGGTTGGATACGGGTAATTGTGCAATATTATCTCCATTTTAATTTCTTGTGTACAGATGACTTTACTCTTGGTAATTTTTGTAAATTAAAAAGAAAATTTGAGAGTATTGATGAAAAATAAATTAAAAGTTTTAATTACTGGAAACATCTAAAACATGCTCACCCGTCTGAGTCATAAGATACAAGTAAAAATACATCAATACAGGCCAAGTTACAAACACCAGGGGAAGGATCAAAGATAGTCTGTCTGAAAGCCATCTGAGAGAGCTCAATGAACTTCTGAAGAATCTCCATAGTGAACAAAAGGCTTTTTGGTGCACAAAATGTATTTAGTGTATCTGAATTTTTCTTCTCTGGAGGTTAAGGCCTTGACTTGCAGTAGAGGTTTCTTTCCGCTTCAGTTCCCACGTGCTCTGTTGCAGAGCATTAAGACTTCAAAGAGCAAAGTCCTGTTCTTGGTGATGCTACCACTAGTGCCTTTTTATTGGTGGAGACAGTGAGAGCATTCTCACTAACTGGCCATGCTGTGTTCTGAAAAAGGGTTGAAGCTTTCTGTTGAGACTGTTAACCACACAAGGCGGGCAGGAGAGCATGAGAAGGGAGCGTGAATTCATCCCAGTGACTGGGGAATACTCCTGAGGTGTAGGAGCTGTTTGTCTGAGCTCTGCAGACCGAGGGGGAACTCTCAGTCTCTAAGCAAGCTCCCTAGCATATGGGCTACTACACAAATGTGTTACTGTATAAGCTAAGAAAAAAGAAAAATTATATTGCTTACTAAGTCTACGATGAACCCTGTAATGCTACTGTATTTTTCATTTAAACATGTAAGTTAAATGTACTCTTATGAAACTCATTTCAGTCTTGTGAAGAGGGAAAGAAAAATATGTATGGACACAAATGGAAATAATCTCTTCTTTTGCATCACAAAACCTTTTCTTTCTGGGTGCTCTTTTTTCCTAAGCTGCCTTTTATAAAATTGTGAGTTATCTGAGGTAAATACAATTTAAGAACAAATAGAATAATTATGTTTTTTTATGAAAGCAGGCAGAAGAAAAAAATTTTAAAAAAAGTCTTCAGAGCCTAGAATATGCTATTAGGTTATATGTGCACCTGAAGACTGTGTGAAACAGAAACCTGTTTATTAAAAAGATTA